CACCTGTCCTATATTTTAATAGCTACTTGACATTTCTAATTTCATAGAATAAATTAGTATTTCTTACAGTATTTGCCTAAGGAAAACGAAATATATCAATTTCAATTTTTTAAACGCAAAATAATAATTAATAATTAACGTCTTTTATTTGTAATATTATTACAGGAGGCGAGCTTTAGTTTATATGAACATATAGTTCCAATTTAAAATAAATATACTTTTCATTCTTAATACGAAATGGTGAAATTACTATCGGCGATGATGTGACGTCATACAAATTGTGAACAAAGAGATGTCCGTATGTCACTCGTACCAAAGTTGTCTTCTTTAACTATTTCTAAAAAACTCCTAAACAACGTAAAAATTATCGTTTTGACATTTTATTGAATAAAACAATCATGGACATTCGATTCGTAAAAGCAGAAAGTGCAAATTTGCCGAAAATTGACACATGATGATGATGATGATGGTTGGTAATTTTTTTGCCTTCAACTCAGATTTCTGCTCTACTGAGTCGAGGAGCATCAATACTTCATGTAAGTACAATGCATCTGATATAATGATAGAAATACCAAGAAAGAATAAGTAATACACTTTCTTTTCAAAAGTCCTACAGGGAGATTCAATGTGCTGCGTGATTTTGAAATTTTCTTGTAGTTAAGGAACCATGAGCCTGGAGAACGTACTTATTAATTTGCTATCCTAAGGAAGGCGCATAAACTCAAGGTATCTACGTTTTTGAACCCTATTTTAAAAATACCTATTCACTATGACAATATTTCATGACAGACCGAAAAAATCAATGACGTCATATTTCAAGGGATTTTGGGACTGGGAATCTTAAGTGGAGGTTGTGCTATAAATTTGCTCTAAGGTGTGAAAGATATTAATTACATTATAATTGTGAACACGATTTTTTACTGATGTATCTGTTACTAAGGCAGTTGATACATGAGTAATTTATGATAGTTATTGATTGGCAATTTTGAAGACTTTTTTTATGTATATTATCTATATTGAAATAAATTATTTACACATAAAAGGATTCCATAATTATGAACCCTACCCCTGAAGCCGACAGTACACTCTTCTCGAAGAATGCGAGAGTACAGTCTGTGAAAACCAAAAGTTCGCCAATTTTGGCTTGAAAAAAACAAGGTTGAAATCGCTTTAAAATAAACTATTCTCAAAATACCCTTCTTGAAACGTGAGGAGGTATGCAAATGCTACTCTGCTCCTGCTATGAGATAAGCACGAAATTGAAATCCATGACATCACTATCTCGCCGTTTCTACGATCCTGTTACAGATCTATAGGTTTAAGAAAATCGCACTATCGATCAGACTTTTCTGGTAAAATTGGTGGACGACGAGTTGCTATTAGCATCACAGAAACTCGAGTAGGTGTGTAAATGGTACTCTGCTTACGCTATGATGTTGGCTCGAAACTTTGATCTTTGATATCTATGCTCCGAGTCATTTCTGCGATCCTGATACCGATCTATAAGTTTCTGAATATCGCACTGTTGCCCACAACTTCTTCGTAAAGTTGGTAGATTGGGCACTTGTTATCAGGTTCACAGAAACGCCAGGAGGTATGTAAATGGTACTCTGCCCCTGCTAATAGATAAGCACGAAATTCAAATCCATGGTACCGATACATCTTGCCGTTTCCGCGACCCGCATACAGATCCATAGGTTTCTGGGAACCGCACTGTCGACCAGACTTATTTCGTAAAATTGGTCGACCACGACTGGCTATCAGGAGCACAGAACCACGAGGAGGTGTGTGAATAGTACTCTGCTCTATGATACACACAATTTGGATCCTTGGCATCTATATTCATTGTGGTTTCTGCGATCCTGATGCAGATCTATAAGTTTCTTAAAGTAGCACTGTCGATGAGATTTTCTTCGTAAACTTGGTAGATGGAAGATTTGTTATCAGGTTCTCAGAAATGAGAGGAGGTATGCAAATGGAATTCTGCTGCTGCTACGGGATAAGCACGAAATTCAAATCTATAGCATCGACACATATTCCTGTTTCTGCGATCCTGATACAGATCTATAGGTTTCTGAAAATTGCACTGTCGACTAGACTTTTCTCGTAAAATTGGTGGACGAGTTTCCATCAGGATCACAGAAACGCGAGGAGCTATATAAATGGTCTTCTGCTTATGCTATGATGTTGGCACGAAATTTGATCCTTGTCGTTTCTGAAATCTTGATACAGATCTATAACGTTTCTGTCATAGAATTGGTAGATTGGAAACTTGGTATCAGGTTAACAGAAACGAGAGGAGGTATGCAAATGCTACTCTGCTCCTGCTATGAGATAAGCACAAATTTCAAATCCATGGCATCACTATCTCTTACCGTTTCTGCGAACCTGTTACAGATATATAGGTTTCAGAAAATCGCACTGTCGACCAGACTTTTCTCGTAAAATTGGTGGACGACGAGTTGCTATCAGGATCACAAAAATGCGAGTAGGTGTGTGAATGGTACTCTGCTGACGCTATGATGTTGGTTCGAAATGTTGATCTTTGGCATCATCCTCCTAGTCGGTTCCGCGATCCTGATACAGATCTATAAGTTTCTGAATATCGCACTGGCGACTATAACTTCTCCGTGAAATTGGTAGATTGGAGACATGTTATCAGGTTCACAGAAACGCGAGGAGGTGTGCAAATGCTGCTATGAGATAAGCACGGAATTCAAATCCATGGCATCACCACCTCTTGCCGTTTCTGCGATCCTGTTACAGATCTGTAGGTTTCTGAATATCGCGCTGTCGATCAGACTTTTCTCGTAAAACGGGTGGACGGATGTATGTGAATAGTACTGTGCTCTATCATACTCGCATAAAACTTGGATCCTTGGTATCTATGCTCCTAGTCGTTTCTGCAATCCTGATACAGATCTAAGTTTCTGGATGTCACACTGTTGACCACAACTTCTTCGTAAAATTGGTAGATTGTAGACATTTTATAAGGTTTACAGAAACGCGAGGTGTGCAAATGCTATTCTGCTCCTGCTATTAGATAAGCACGAAATTCAGTCATGGCATCGATACCTCTTGCCGGTTCCGCGACCCTTATACAGATCCACAGGTTCTGAGAACCGCACTGTCGACCAGACATTTCTCGTAAAATTGGTCGACAACGAGTTACTATCAGCAGCACAGAACCGCGAGGAGGTATGTGAATAGTTCTGAGCTCTATCTATGATACTTACATAAAACTTGTATCCTTGGCATCTATGCTCTTCGTGGTTTCTGCAATCCTGTTGCAGATCTATAAGTTTATTAAAGTCGCACTGTCGGTCCGACTTTTTTCGTAAAATTGGTAGATTGGCCACTTGTTATCAGGTTCACAGAAACGCCAGGAGGTATGTAAATGGTACTCTGCTCCTGCTAATAGATAAGCACTAAATTCAAATCCATTGCATCGATACCTCTTGTCGTTTTTGTAATCCTAATACAGATTTATAGGTTTCTGAAAATTCATTGCCTACCTGACTTATCTCGTAAAATTGGTGGACGAGTTGCCATCAGGATCACAGAAACGCGAGAAGCTATGTAAATGGTCTTCTGCTTATTCTAGGATGTTGGTGCGAAATTTTTATGTTTGACATCTATGCTCATAGTCGTTTATGATACAATCTTGATACAAATCTGTACGTTTCTGTCATAAAATTGGTAGATTGGAGACTTGTTATCAAGTTAACAGAAACGAGAGGAGGTATGCAAATGGTACTCTGCTCCTGCTATTAGATAAGCACGATATTCAAAGCCATGACATCCATACATCTTGCCATTTCTGCGATTCTGACACAGTTCTATAGGTATCTGAAAATCTCACTGTGGACCAGACATTTATCGTAAAATTAGTGCACAAGTTGCTATCGGGATCACAGAAACGCAAGGAGATACGTGAATTGTACTCTGCTTATGCTATGATGCTGGCGCGAATTTTTTATCTTTGGCATCTATGCTCCTAGTCGTTTCTGCAATCCTAATACAGATATATATATATATATATATGTCGACCACAGCTTCTTCTTAAAATTGGTAGCTTGGAGACTTGTTATCAGGTTCACAGAAACGCGAGGAGATATACACATCGTACTCAGCTCTTGTTATGAGATAAGAACGAAATTCAAATCCATAGCATCGATTCTTCTTGCCGTTTCAGCGATCCTGATAGAGATCTATAGGTTTCCGAAAATCGCACTGTGGACCAGACTTTTCTCGTGAAATTGATGGACGGTGGCTTGCATTCAGGATCACAGAACCGCGAGGAGGTATATGAATAGTACTGCGCTCTATGATATCCGCGTGAAACTTGGATCCTTGGGATCTATGATACCTTGTGGTTTTTGCGATCCTGATATACAAGTTTCTTAAAGTCGCACTGTCGATCAGCCTTTCTTCGTAAAATTGGTAGACTGGAGACTTGTTATCAGCTTCACAGAAACGTGGGGAGGTATGCAAATGGTACTATGCTCTTGCTATAACGAAATTCAAATCCATGGCATCGATGCCTCTTGCCGTTTCTGCGATCCTGATATAAGTCTACAGGTTTCTGAAAATCGCACTGTCGACCAGACTTTTCTTGTAGAATTTGGTGGATGGTACTCTGCTTATGGCTTATGCTATGATGTTGACGCGAAACTTTGATCTTTGGCGTCTATGCTCCTCGTCGTTTCTGCAATCTGGATACAGATCTATAGGTTGAGCAGAGGTTCTTCGTAAAATTGGTAGATTAGAGACTTGTTATCAAATTCACAGATGCGAAATGGTCCTCTTATGCTCTGTTGACGCGAAATTTTGATCTTTGGCCTCTATGTTGCTAGTCATTTCTGCCACAACTAAGTTCCTTACTATTGAGTCAAACAGCTAATTCAATTACATATCGATATCTTACCTGACTGTAGAATTTCGTGTAATAAGATATTCATGAACTGTGACTGGTAACCTTGTAAGTATGTAATGTGTTATAGTAATTCAACAACTGTATTTGCGGTTATAAATTTATTTCCTTCAAAAAGAATGTATTAAAAACATCGTGTATAAATAGTATATTTATACATTTTACTATAGACCTCCTCGAAAGCGCTTCCCCAGAACTTCAGAAGATCTTGGGGAAACATCTATCCCAACTTGTACATGTATTGTGTCAAAACAAAATTATACAAATAATATACTCTTCAAACCTATAAAAAATTAAATCCAATATAATACCTAAGACTTAAAGAAAATAGACATTGAACTCTAGTGATATTCAACCAGGAGAGAATAAGCGAAATGCAGAAATGAACTTTAAAGGAAACTTAAAAACTGAAATACTGCGTAAGAAACAACAAATCGCCGTATATACACAAGAGAAAACAATTGATATAACATATAAATATTCTTCTGATCACATTGTGAAAATGCATTTTTTTCAATAATGGCTGTTTGTCATTCAATGACAAAGCCGTCTCTATATGGAAACTCCTGTAGAAGAAAAAAGCAATCTCAAGCTTTTCCCTCTTACTAGGTCTATGTTTAAATAAGAATAGCACGCGTGTAGAAGTGGTTCCTCTTCCATAGCAATGCAAAAGAAACCGCTGTAGGTTCTTTAGGATTTTAACAGAAATATTTATAAACAGAAAGGGATATACTATTTCCAATATATTAAAACATGAAGAATTATGGAAATATAAAATAATAGGTATTCCAATTAAAAAAAGCGCAACCTGTACCACAAAATATAATATATTGTAAAGTCACAACTCTCACAATGTTTACCTATCAGCTGGTATTGATCACTATTTTACCATTCTCTCTTGGATGCGACTCAAAATATCTAATTCAGCCTAATAACTGAATATATAGCACAAGGAAGATTAGCATTATGGACTCCATAGTTATAAGATTATAATCCACATGTACATAAGACTTATGACCAGTTTTTCAGTCACAAGTTAACATTCGGGTTAACTAACCATAATCTTTGCAGTTAACTGAGGTTAAATTTATTTTTCAAGTTCAGGTTAACCAGTGTTAAAAAATACACAGATGGCGATGTGACGACGCGGCTTCTACGAGCCGAAGTAGCGTATTCTGCGTATTGTAACAAGAGTCACTGTCAGATAAAATAGGTTAGGCATTGCGGTTTAACCACAAACCCCTAGTTAACTCGTAGATTATTGGTCAACCCTATTTTTAATGTTTAAAGACAAGGAAGACATTAAAAAAACGATTATCTGAGTTAAATCTCTAGAACATATTTCTGTCAAAATCCATCTCAGTAACATTTGTCAGCGTGTATACTATTTAAATGTATGCATCAGTTGGCCTGTTGTTCAGTTTACGACTCTGTCGCGAGCACCGGTATGGCTGTCGTATACACTGGGGTTTCCAACTCTATTCGGGCCGTGGTGCGGAGCCCTAGTTGATTCTTGATGTGGCTGATGATGTCCTGGTCAGCCGGACAGCTTTGGATGAATGCCTCCAGCTCGTACATGTTTGCCATGTACCTCCATAGGGCCGTGAATCTGGAGTAGATAAGAGTGGTTTAGAGAAAGAGCAAAGCTCATTGAATGCTGTGATTTTTGAGATGGATGTTGGAAAACTAAACAAAAAAAGTTAACAAAATAACCCCTTTTTGAGATGTCGCCAATAGATATTATTACGAGGGTTGTTTCAAAAATAGGGTCTCCACATTTTTTTCAGGCACAAGATGTTTTATTTGAAAAAAGAAATTCGCTATTTTAAACGTTGATTGTTATGCTATTTTTCTCCATAGTCACTTTTTTCTCCTTATTTTTTTAGACGTGAAATCCACTTTTGGACTCCCGCTCAAGGGAGTCCGCTACCAGACTATTTAGAAACTTGGTAACGGCCTCTTGCAACACCACGGACGTCACGAACCGTTGACCGCCTAAGTGCTCCGTCAATTTCGGAAACGCTATGTTAGGGCTGTAAGCCAAATCGCTCGGTTAAGTCCTTCGTTTGTTGTGAGACATGAGGATGCGCATTGTTGAGTTTTCACCTACGAAGATTTTGGAGTGCCCGTATCAGCTTTTTCAGAAGTCACACGAATTTCAACTCTGTTCCCGGATCGTGATTTGCCGATCTTCGAGCGAAATTTGCTCAATCTTCGCCTCAGCGAACGACGCGACGGCTTCCTGCTTCGTTGTTCATCGTGGATGTCCATCTTCACCATTCCAGGACATGCTAACTGCTTATACACGTTACCCCATATACTTCACTCAAGTGGCGATGCATTTTTATGGGTGATAACGTTTTTGCATGCAAAAATCGGATGAACCGCACGAATTTCGTATCTGGTGGTGACGGCGATTAAGGGCTCCATTGCGCATGGCTGTGGGGCTGATCCAGGGGATCATCACCCTAGAAGAATCTAGTTTGATCACCCGTATTTATGAACTTCGGATCTCTTTGATAAATTTAATAAAATACCTAATCGATACAAACGGTCCTGATCAATTTGTAAGCGCATCGATGATGACGTGGCAACAAGATACTTGCGTAAGTCTGGTTGCCTATATAATCAGCATGACGCAAATAAATACCGTATGAGTACACGGGTAGGCTCACTACCATTCTGCTCTTCAATTTTTAATCGCACTTACTTGGTGGGTATGTCGAACTTCCTGAAAGCCTTCGCGCCGATCCTAATGTGCTGCAGCCGGGGCATGAGCTCGCAATCGAAGCAGGACATGGTGTCTCCCGTCAAGAAACGGGTGCCCCTCTTCGCCAGGAAATCGTTGATGCGCTCTAACTGCGACAGCAGTGGTTGCCGGTTTTCCGTCGTGTCGGGCGATTCGAATTTGCGGATGTACATCTTGAACTTCGTGTACAAGTTTTCGATCAAGGTCGCCACTTCTTTGTCCTAACAACAAAACAACCATTAAAACCAAAGTTCTGCTCATCAAACATACACGGTGTCCCAGAAGTCCACGTCAAGCCGGAAACGGGGGATAGACAAGTCATAATAGTTATCAGAAAAGTATAAAAAAACCTAAGTCAGTTTTCAAATTATAGGCTTTAAAAAGTCGAAAATTCTACACCCTGTGGAGATCTTTTATAGGGAGCGTAGATGCAATGCTAGTGCTGCATCTAAGTTTTACCGTGAGAGGTTCCCAAATGCTGCTCGTCATCCCGATCACCGAGTTTTTGTGAATGTGCACCGTTTACTCTCAGAGGGACGATTCCCAAATCAAGCACATGCCCAAGAAAGAATTTCCTTTCTTTACGAGGACGTCCTACCACAACCAGTAGAAGACTCGAGTACTTCAGTAGAAGCAAGCATGGGAGTGGCCAAAAGTACAGCCCACCGAATGTTGTGAAGGAACGAGTTCCACCCGGACCACTTACATCGAGTTCAGTCTCTACAACCGCGGGATTATTTTCCAAGAATTGAGTTTTGTCAAACAATGTTACAGTGACACCGGGAAGATCCGCGATTTTATGGACTTATGGGTCGACATTTAAAAAAGACGGCTACATGAATCTAGACAACTTACACGAGTGGCATGTAGTAAACAACCCACATGTGATGAGACAAGAGAGATCACAGTATCGTTTTAAAGTAAACATGTGGACTGGGATTCTAAATGCGAAAATCAATGTACCCTTTGAACTGCCAGAGTTCTTTAATGGTGAATTTTATTTAGACCATAAAGGCGCCCTACAATTGTAGGGCGCCTTTATGGCCTCCTTGATTGTCATAGTTTTCTACTTCTCCGTGTCAGCGCTCTATTTTGAGGTTATGTCACAAACATCTATTTGCATCAAATTGTGCTTGCTTTTGAGTTATATCATGTTTTATCAGCCTGAAATTTCCTACAATTTAAGAAGAAAACATATCTTCACAATAGGAGAGCGCTGACGCTGACACGGGACAAGTGTAATCTAGAAATTTTTGAAGGAGAGAAAGGAGTATGACAATCAAGTAGGCCATAAACGCGCCCTACAATTGTAGGGACGACTGACGATACGGGCCTTAGACTTTTTACAAAATCATTTACTGGAAGACGTGCCACTAAGCATTTACAGTGACATGTGGTACCGGCAAGAAGACTGCTTGGCGCACTATGCCCGTTCAGATAACATCTTGTTGCGAATACCCGAGCAGATGCATAGGGCGGTCTGGTACAATTTCGTGGCCAGCTTGACTTAAATCCACTCGATTTTTTTACTGGGGAAGCAAAATTTTACTCAAAGCCAATCGGAAAGTTAGCTGCGCTACGGGACAGACTAACGTGATTTGATAAATATACTAAGTGACATATAAATCCGAACACCCAGTTTAAATGGTTTTATTTTAATAAAAGTTGGTGAATGTATTTATCTTACTGTAAATAACAAGTGAAAAAATTTTCAGCCTTAGCAGTTGGACATTCCGGTTTTTATACTGCTTTTTTTTAATTCACTAACGCTCCAAAAATGAATATTTCAGCCGCAGTAAAGAATCAACGTTGGCGGATTTTGGTTCTTGACATCCTTTACGATCGGTTACGATGCCTAGAGTACGGAGATCTGTACGATTTCGTCAACTTAGTGAGTTTGATAGGGGCCGTATAGTGGGACTTCGGGAAGCTGGACTTTCGTTTCGGGCAATTGCAGTTAGAGTGCAAAGAAGTGTAGACACTGTGGTTAGGTGTTGTCAGGCATGGCTTCGAGAAGGCCGTACGCAAAGAGCAAGGAGCACTGGACGCCGCCGTAGAACAACAGACCGTGAAGATCGCCGCCTAAGATTATTGGCCTTAAGGGACCGTTTCTCCACTACCAGGTCCATTGCAAATGAATGGTTTGCAGAACACGGAAGACCTATGCATGCGAAGTGTTTACCGACGAATGAGAAGTTTTGGCTTGTTGCAAGTCTCATCACTCAATTTACAGACCTCGTATATCATATGTGTATATGTCATTTGGGGACAAATGATGAAAAGCAAACAAGCTAATTTGAGTTTACTCATTACATTACAATACTCAGTTTTTTACTAGACCCATATTCGCCTAGCGAAATAAGACAGACAGATCGAGTTGGCACTTTTGTAACGCACATAATGAAAAGCTTCAAAAGGTTATTTCCAAGTAAAATCAATATTTGCAAACAAGAAAGATGGACAACTTTAAACACCCCATATCACAGATGAGCCATTTCCATATTATCCTGGCTAATAAATGAAAGCGCCGATTTTGAACAAACTACGTTTTGTTTACAGAAAGAAGCCAATATTAATTTATTTTTAATTTCACAGCAAGTTATGAGCTTCCCTGTACTATTCAGAAGTGAAGACGTACGAATTTCAAAACCGCATTGCTCGTGACAGGCACTCGGAAGCGGGATACGGGTAGTGGGGATAAGTAGCTTGGTGCTCGGAAATATAGTCGCCATGGTGCGTTTCACCGGTGAGCAGCCTGCGTTCTGTGTTAAGGCTTAAAAAATAGAGATTCGTGCACTATTGCATGGAGTCTGCTTCGATCTGAGTTTAGTTTATATGATCTAAATCAATGTCCTAGTGAAAGTGTGATCAGGTCGTGGGTCAGAAACAGGAAACTGTAAGCGAAGTTGCGGGTCCGTACGGCGCGATCCACAGTTATCATCCCGAAAGGGATTAGCTGAGCTCGCCATTTCAAGAACATCTGTAAGGCGTATTTTGGTAAACGACTTTAAATTGCACCCATACAAACTTCAAGTAGTGCAGGAATTAAAACTGCACGACTACCATCTACGGTGAGCGTTTGCAAAAACAATATTAGAGCGCTTTCCAAGTTTGAACAATGTTCTCTTTTCTGACGAAGCTCATTTTCATTTGAGTGAATTTATCAACAAGCAAAATTACCGGTATTGGCCGCAGAAAATCCCAAATTAAAACACCAACGATCTTTGCATTCGCGTTATGTTACAGTTTGGGCGGCCCTCTCGGCTGAAGGAATCATTGGACCTTATTTCTACGAAAACGAGAAAGGCCAGACTGTAACAGTAAGTTCTAATAGCTAACCAGCAATGCTACGTAACTTTTTCTTTCCACAACCGCATAACTTTGAGGCCTACCGTAGTAGGACCTGGTTTCAACAAGATTGCGCGACACCCCAAACCGCCAACGAATCTTTAGCAGTTGTTAACGAAATGTTTGGTGGAAAACATTCCGTGGCCTCCCCGAAGCCCAGATTTCACGCCACTGGATTTATTTCTCTGGGTATACCTCACGAGCCGCGTTTATGCCAATAAACCGACGACGATTGCCAAGCTCAAGCACAACATTTCCGAGGAGATATCCGCTATCCCACGAGCGATGTGCCAGCGAGTTTTCACGAATTTGAAGTCGAGATTCGAGGAGCGCGTACGTCTCGATAGCTCGCATCTCAACGCTTTGTAGTTTTTTTCTAGGATTTTTTAAAATCCGCTCAACTTAATGGCCCGCCCTGTATTTCAATTCGATCTTGATAACGAAATAAATTCAAGCCTCAAGCACTGATGATACCTTTGCAATCTATGTCATATTTCAAATATCCACATGTTATCTAAAAGCAATCTAGGCACATATACATTATATAATTATCATTATTTGTATAATAAAGTATTCATTCGGAATCAAATTCACTACTGATTACTAACGTCTAAAAAAACATCAATAGATATTATGATATGCAGAAATGTAGATGCAAAATGCATAAAAAGATCTGAATAAGCATTACTCCACTTATACAAAGTCATTAACCTCGATCCATTCATTTTGTGGATTCATATTATCGGTCTCAAGTAACTGTATGCATGTAAATGATTATCTGTGTGTTTTTACAAATATTCCCAGTCATTTTTTAGTTTCGATGTACAACTTTCTTCTGTTTGCGTATTTATAACAGTTAAGAAAATAAAACGAAGAAACTATCATAATCACCATAGAGAATGCTGTAGTGGCAAGAGTAGCATAAGTAGAAGTTTGAGATGACTCATACTATTAGTATATTACGAGTATATCCTATCAGCTTTAATAATGTAATCCCGAAAATCAATTTTGATGCAATTTAAAGTTAAAGTTTTCTCCAACTCGCATTCTAGGGTCTAATTTTTTTAATGAATAAAATTAGGTGTAGAGTTAGTGAATATCACGAGGTGGTTTTACTTCCCACGCCACGTGAGCAGAAGTTGTAGGATGGTGGTAGAGGGTATATCTCAAATTTTTGGTGTTAGCATATTTATACGTTTCCTACCCCGGTATACTGCGTCGCGAACTCAGCAGTTCGTGGCTGGAAAGTCGCGAGATTAGTCATAGCAACGCTGCCAGATGGTCGGAACTGTCGGTAGGAAAAGAGAAATTTCTAGATCGAAACGTTATCAAATTGATGGAGACTTCTTCAGAAGGACTAACTTCGGTCAAACACAACCTTTTATCATCCGATGACAGCGTTGCGTGCTAAGTGCAGAGTTAACTTAGTTGACGTCAGTCAGGCACGTTGACTAACTACACGCACAGATTTAAATTCTTTTTAAAATTGAAAACAACTTATATGACCCAACAGGTTATGAGATAAAAAGTAGAATTCATTAAGTGCTTCAATGTTGACAACATACAGCGTGGACCAACGAAAAGGTCGCACCCCCTTTTGTGACTCTCCTGGTACATTTTGGGAAAACGCTCGGACACGTCAATATTGATTTCTTTTCGTCGATAGCCTTACAATACAGGGTGATCCAAAAATAAGATATTGCGTTACACTTTAGATTTTTAAATGGAAACCGCCATAGATGAAAATGAAATCAAAATTGACTTGTCTGAGCGATTTTTCGAAAATATAACAAGAGTCACAAATAGAGGTGCGACCATGTATTAGTACTGAGAAAAAATATTTTTTACGTTTAATATTCCTTCACTCACAAGC